ATCCTTTCACGAAAAAAAAATCGACCACATCACACTTGTCACCGGATGCAGCCAACGTTTTTCAAACAGTGAGTGGTTCCACATCTGAGGCAGAACTCTGTTTTCTTCCCTGCTTTGCCTTCGGTGGTCTCAACATGTATGAAAGGTGATGTGTCTCTCCTGATTTTCTTTGGCAGAGGAATAGAGGAGCACACCCAACAAGTAGATAGCATACGCGGCCTCAATGGTCCAAAGCTTCTTGTGTTCCAAGCTATGGCAACACAGCTACCCTACGTTCAGAGAGCATGAATCAAGCCTGGCCTGACCGAAGGGAGTTTTGTGAAAGACCCTTAAGTTCAACTCCATATTGTTGGTAGAAGTAGCTAGAGCCCCAGAAGTGCTTTTGGGATTCCAACGTCGACCCCTTTAAGCGCCACTAGAAAGCATCATGTTTGGCACCCCATGTTTGGAAGGTCGGCCTTTGCGCCGTCACATTTGGTCCGGGCTGCAGGGGAAGTCACTATAGGCCCAGCCCCCAAGGCTCCCGAGTTTGCCGCCGGGGCGCTCAGATGAGTCCAAACACCGTTTCGAGTCTGCCAATGGGCCGACGTGTTTGAACATTGTTCCACAAGTGCCTTTTTGGGGTGATTTGGGAAACCAAAGCGAAGCCAAATCAAGTGCCATATAGGATGTTTTCAGTTGGAAGTTGACTTTCTGTTGTGTGTTCTTTGTGAAAAATGGTCACCCAAAAAGGGTGCAGTTGTTCTAGGTTGCTGGACACCTGGCTTGGCTGTGCTGTTTGAGCCATTGCCCGACCGTATTGGCTTTGATTCCAACCTCTTCAAATGGGTAGGTGTCGGAACTGGTTGAACCCGCGGCCGTTCCATGGTCTGAGTTCGATGCTGGCTCGCGAAAAGGCACAAAGGCCCGGAAGTTGGGTGCTTAGTTTTGACGCACAGCCAAGTGGTTCGTTGTAGGAACAGCAGCATGGGCATTTGATGTAGGTTCCTACTTGATGTCATAGCCTGGTGCACCAGGAGCAACTCAAAAGACAAGACAACTCTCCCTAAACCCCGTCTCTCTCCTGCCTTAACCAAAGCATCTCTTAATGGAACCTTAGGTCTCATTCGAGTTGCTGCCCGGAATTTTAAACGTCCTGTATGTATTGTCATGAGGGCTTGTCACTTTGCACATGTCATTTCTCCTTTGCAGTCTCTTGTTGTGGAGTCGGTACCTTTTGGGATGGAGGGACACTGACGCGATGGACACAAAACGGAAAGGAACCTATGGGGATGGCCAGGCGGCCTGCTTGTGGCCCCCAGATTGGTGAAGCGGGCAAGCTTCTTTTGAAAGAGGGGATCATCGAATCCTTGTATGTTTCATCCAAATCTTTCTTTTTTTTAAATAATGTAAGTGTCCCCCAAGTCGAATATATTTGCCTGAGTTTATCCAATCTTGCCTAAGTTTACTTGATTTACCCCGGGACTACTTCCCGCACTCACTTGGACGTGAGGTCATGAAGCCAACGGCGGTCTTCATCTCCATGGGCCGAGGCGTGAGTTGGTGCCCTTGGGGTCCTCTGTTTGTTGGTATTTACAGGGCAATCATCATTCCACATTTTCTTGAGTGGTGCAGGATTTTGTCCATCCACTGTATTTTGAGACACACCCTTTTAGGGGGGGTCCAAAAGGGACAGGGGAAACAATCAGGTTTGGGGATTTGTTTAAAGACACACCCAAATGCTCTCATGCCAAAATCCAGTTGTAGGGGAGACAGCTTGTTTTGGGGGATGAAGGTCTCCGTGTTGTTTTGCAGGGGAGTAAGGTTGAACAGCCCCCTAAGCCTTGGATGCCGGATATTCTCAGTGCAACGCCTTTCCAACAGGTGGACACTTTTTACAGCAAGTTCTGGCCCTTGCCTGCTTTAAGGACCGTGCATTCATTGCTCCAGCTTGCGCAGAGACGCATGAGCCGTGAGGATTATACGGGGATCATTGCCATATTACCAGTGGCCCGCTGTGCCCAGCTTCTCATGTCAGTAACCAGGGCGTCGTTTGCAGACCTTGCCGGAAGCAAGCGTGCAGGCTCCTGCGTCGATGAGGCTGCGCTGCTGGAGGTGTTGCTTGGCAAAACCGAGTGGTGTTTTAATTTGTCATATTAATTGGTGGAGACTAAAGCAAGAAGCAATGTTTCCAGAATTGAGTTAGACTGCGAGGCCGGGCTGATTGCATGTTGGGACGCTCCGGTGGCTGGAACACTTTGTACAGATGACCCTTGGATCAGTTTCCAAGGACTTCCGTCAATGCAACCGGGATATACTCTATAGTTTGATCCCTCATTCTTAGAACCCCCCCCTATTACAGTTGAGAGAATCCCACAATCCCCCGGGCTTTGGTCCCCCCTTCTCTGAAAACGAGGATCCTTGAATAGACTTGGGGAAGTACAGCGCGGAACCTCCACGCAGATAGCAAGGCTCGCTCGCCAGCCAACTCTTGCAGCTGCCGTGTCCATCGAGGCTTTCTGCCAAGAAGATTGTTGGGGCGGCGCTGGATGTCTTTGAGCAGGATGGGTGGGGCGGAGTCCAAAGAATGAGGCCGTTTCCGGGTTGTTTGCAGGACAAACCACAGGAATCCGAAGCCCATTACAAAAGCATAGCACTTGCCAGAGCAAATGGAGTCAGGCAGCTGAGCCAGCTCCTTGTTTCGCCAGTGCATTTGGGTATGATCCCATGTGGGCGTGTCTTTTGCAGGGGACCCCCCCAAAATGGGTGGGTTTTCCTTTTGATGTCCAATTAAACCCCCGAAAAAGGGGCTTGCTCCTGTCAGGAGCCGCTCCCAGCAGCGTCGCCGCTGTGGAAATGCGAGACTCTGCTGCTGAGCCCCCACAACGCCGACCTCACCTGCACGTGGCTCTCGGGTTCATGGCTTTGTTACAATGTTACAACCACCCCTGGTCTTCTTCAAAGAGACCAAAGGGAAGTTGTTTAAACAATTGTAAAGTTCAACTAGCTGAAAAAGTTCTGCGGCTTAAGAGGCTTTCAGTTGGGTGTTGTTGACTGTTCTCAGTGACCGTTTGAAGGGGGGTCCTTCTCAAATTCTACGATGCTGTTCAAAACGCGGAATTGCATTTTTGCCGGATATCGCTTGTGGTGAAAGACAATCATGGGAGGGATGGGAGGGTGCCTTTCTCTTCAGGGTAGTTGGGAAACGTCTGCTGCAGTACTTCACGAATCAACCCAGAGCCGCATTGTGGGCAAGCAACCAGCATCGGGCGCTTGGATTCTGCATCCAGACCAAGGAGTAAGGAGTGGGGATTGAGCTGAGTGACCTTTCCCCTACATGCTCCCTTTTTGCAAGTAGTACTGTACAAGTTTGCTTTGGACAGGAGTTATATCAGATCCTGACGGCACGTTTGTCTCTCTGAGCCCGTTGCTCGCACAGGGCTTTTTGCATACTGCACTTGTTTTGATGGAACACACGTTCTTTTTTGATGCCTCCTTAGGTTCAGCTTGCAGTCCATCGTTTTTGCTTGCTGCGGGTTGCCCTGAGCACTTGTAAAAAGATTCAACTTGTTTCAAATCGATCTGACAGGATGTAGGATGTCAGGACACCGATACGAAGAGCAGCATGCTTCTTACCCCAGCTCACGGGGGCTAAGACTCAAATGCAAAGCACGGAGTATCCCGGTTCGGAATTCAGCTTTGAGGACTGCCAGCATCCCAGCTTTGGAAGGGTTTGGACCTCAAACCCTGCCTTGATCAGATCCCAAGACTCGCAGGCCAACATAGTCTCCCTGAACTGCCGAATACCAGCTAGATAGAGAGTGGGAGCGTTGTGCGGGGCTTTTGCGGGTGGTTTCTTAGCTCTCAGCCGGGCTTGGCGCTGCGCTGCCGGTCCTTTTGTTCGTCCGTCGAGAGGTACATGCAGCTGACCTGGGACATCTTCTTGGAGCGGCTCAGGGACTTTGAGTCCCCGGGCTTCAAAGGCTTCGAGCAAACCGTCGACAAGTCCAAGGGCTACTGAGTCACTGAGTTCCGCTGAGTTCCGCTGAGTTCCGGGGCGCGTGTGGAGCGGCGACTTCGGCCCAACGGTGGCCGGCGGCTTCATCGGGCGGCGCGTTCTTTTTGCTTTCTTTCTTTTTTGCGGCAGAGGAAAAGGGAGTGCGAGCTCTGGGTGTCATGGATACTCATGGCGAGTACGCGACAGCATTTAGTATCTTCGGACTGAAGGCGGTGAATATTTATGTTTTGAAGGTTGGCGAGCACGCTTTTTGCCAGTGGCGACGGCGACGCAGTGTTGTTCACCGGTGTAGATGGACAAGATCTGAAAGCATCAACCTAGACTGACATAGGTATGTGAAACGGTAGGTGTCAGTGTTCTAATCGCTCACTCGAGTGTTTTCTTTTTTGAGGTTTCCCTGTTTGGGATCGTTTGAGGGAAGAAGAAACTAGAGTGAATTCGTGCTCATGTTGGGGCCTGATTTATGAAGCTCCCCCACATGACCCATGGTTTAGGATATGTCAACTGAGTTGTGTTCTTGAGAATGACACACACACACACACAGTTTTGAGGCTACCTCTATTGATTGCCTGTTTGTTTGAGGAGTGTCCATATGAGCCAGACTGATAGACTGATTGGGAAAGACACCAAAATACTAGGTAGGGTTCTCTGGTTGTCATTCTGGTTGTCTTCTTGAGTCAATCCTTATAATTCTCAGAAGCCGGCAAACATTCGTCCATACTAAATGGTCGCCACTGAATTCGGGCCATATTCATTCGTTGGTGGGCACAATGCTGCTGGAGGCCAATATTTCCAATATTTCAACCCAAGACTTCGAATTATTTCACCATTGGCAAGTACTATGACCAACTCACTTGTCAGCTCCCGGCCATCCCCTTCACTTTTTAGCTTTTTGGTGTTTAGTGGGGGGTTCCATTTAACTCACGAACAGTTAAACTAGGGGATCTGAAAACGGACGGCCCAAATGGCCCGTGGCAACGCCTGGTCGAGCTCCGGAGCCGAGGCCACGGACGCGGAGCTGCAAGCGATCAGCGACCCCCAGAAGCGGGCCATGCAGCGGGTGTCGCGGGCCGCCCGGGGCCGAGCTCTCGCCGAGGGATCCGGCGCGTGAAACGTGTCCGTTGCTTTCGGAGAACCTCGGTGAACCCAGATGCGTGAGGCGTGGTCGAACTGTTGTTCCTGTGATCATTCGCGGCTGTTTCGCCCTGGTTTGGAGAGGCACATCGGACCTTCAGCTTTTTGAGCTCTCCAATTTGGAGAGTGATCGTCACGATTAAAGCAATGTTTGGGGAAGCTTGATCGTTGAAATCATTCATGCGCACGAAGGGTCTGTGCTTCAGAAGAACAGGAGCAGCATTGCAATCGGAAGACATCTCTGCATCCCAAAATATGTGCAAGGTAGTGTGGCAGGGAGCAAGAGAGAAGTAATCAAAATAGAAGCACCCAATAAATTACTGCTGGTATGTATTTGAGGTCCAACACGGGGCATTTTGAGGTGAGACATCAAATGGTGCAATACCGGAAACGATGCGGCATCCATGCAGACAAATCTGGATACTTGGTTTGAAGGACACTTGCCAGCACGTACATCTTAATGGCACTTCTTGTTGCAGTCAAGACTGCTCCGAATCCTTGAACAGCCTGCTTGGGGCTTGCCAATTGCACAGTTCTCACCAGTGGTACCCTCTGGCTCAACTCATGGCACACGCTGGAATCCGCCCTTTGGCTTTGCGGAAAGCAACGCCCTTCGCCCGCTCTGAGGCGCATCAATTTGCCGCCCTGGGCTTTTCTGCCACGGAGGCAAGGCGGCTTTGATCTCATCGCGGTTTGGATTTTTGCCCGAGCCCCGCGCCATGCATTTAAACATCGGGTATTGTTTTTCCTGGGGTCCATAACAGGAGAACCGCTCCGCAGTCGCATGATCCTCTGCATGAATCCAAAGTTGGCAGAACTGACTGCCTCCGCGTTGGATTGGCTACAAGTTTGGTTCCTATTCTTGGTCGATGAAATCCGCCAGAAGACCAGCCCCAAGCACATTGATGTATTTGAGAACCAGAACGAGGTTTTTCATTGATCACGACCCACGACTAGTGGAATGTTTAATATTCATGATTTTCCTGCACGAGAAACTGGGTTGATATTGCCTAGAGCCACCCCGAAACGGGTACCCTGAAATAAAAGACACCTCCACAGGTCCACCCATGTTTGCGCAATCCTCCCCATGCAGGCGATGACTGCCACGCCCGCAAGCGTGCAGAAGGCGTGACGCCATGAAAGTCTCAGTCATGGCTCGTGAGAAATCCGAGTGGTGCTTGGGTTTGTACGAGTCCGAAAGTAGTCGTGCGGATTTGCGGGGGCTGAAAGTTTTGCTTCAGCCTCCATGCCAATTCTGAATCTGTCAGGCAGTCGAGGACTATGAGAAGCTCGTGCCTGACTTGGAGGTTGCAAGGCGTTTGCTTGGCATGGTGTCCCTGAGCTGGTTGCTCGGAGTTGCTGTTTCATTTGCGTGGGCGTGTCGTTTTGAGGTTCGGCGCCTTGTGGCTCTGAAGGGAGACCAAAGGGCAACTACCCATTTCGGGGGTTGTCCACTCAGCTTAAGGTCGGGACATCGGATGGGTCACCCATCTATACGACGGCCCTAGGGCGGGTCAAGGCAGGAGCGAGATTGACTACACGAAGATAGGAACACCTACAAACAGTAGGCGCTGCGTTTTCTTCGCCCTTACCCAGTTCCAATGCAAGATCCTAGTGCCGAGGGAAGAACACACAGATTGTGGCCTGCCGCACTTGGATGAAGATGAAGATGACTGCCCCTTTGAGTATAGTTGTGCGCTACATCGCATTTTTTCCGTCATTGGGGCGTTCAGGTCATGTGCGAAGTTCGTTTGACTAGCAACTAGCCCTGGCCGCCTCCAGAGGGAAGGCAGAACGAGGTGGTTTAAACCGTTTGGGCGGGTTCAACATGTTTGAACGAGCGGCAACAGCCCAACTATTCCGGCAGGCTGCTGGCAAAGCGGTGGAGGCGATGCTGAGTGGCGAGCTCAGGCAAACCTTGCAGGGTAGAAGTGGGTTCGGGATTTTGCAGTTCCCAGCGACACCCTCAGACTTTTAGATGTTTGGAGTTTAGGGGGACTTATGACTCATGACACGTCCCACCAAAGTAATCCTTTAGCAAGGGATCAACGAACCAGATACCAGATATGGCGCCTCGCAAATTCGTCTCTCTGTTAGCTTGCTTTAAAACCAACTCCCAAACGGATACCGAGCATCAAACAACGAGACACGCAAATCGATCCCAGAACTTAACACGAACACAAGGTGCCCCAGGCCCCCTCGCCTCGTTCGGTATTTGATATTTGCCGCCAGCTGCGGCCAAGGTTTGGATTCCTTTGGCACACATCAGCTGGCAGAGCTTTGCTATGCCATGGCCTCGGCCCACTTGCGTGGTGCGTTGCCTTGCAAAGAGCCATACGAAGCGCGCTGAACGGGCATGAGTCCTGAGATTATGGATGGATTGGATTGGATGGGATGGGATGGGATTGGATGGGATCGAGTAGGATGGGATGGCTGGCTGGATAGTGGCATAAATGAGCCTGGCTTCTTTCCGCATCTTCAGACTGTGTAGCCTGTGTCTGCGGCAAATATCACATCTCAGAAAGCATTGGCGCTGAGATTTGCCAGGTGTGGACTAGCGAGTTGCAAGCCTTAATCCGAGGCCATGGACGAAGAGGGTGGCATCCTGTGCGGTTCCCAGTTAGCGGTTGCCCAAATCGGGTCGAAGAAGCTGACGTATTTCTTGCCGCCAGCACTTGCCTAGTTGGCTGGCTTCAGGACTTGAGTTGAGCTTCAGGACTTGAGTTGTGGAGCTTGGTTGCTGTTGCTTGATCATAATTTCTGCTGATTGGTCATGGTGCAGAAACGCCAATTAATAGTTTCATGCTGCAGTCGTTATATGTTTGTTGGTAAAGCTGTTGAGCTAATCATTAAGTGCGGTATGACTGTTTGCGCGGTTTGCTGCTAAAGCTTGGCTGATCATGTCTGGTGGCGCTGTTCAAAGGCACTCCTCAATCCATTCCCTGGGTTGCGGAAGGGTTCCCTTTGCAGCGGTTTTTTCTCAATGGGGATTATGGTGTTATATTGGCCACCCCTCTATTTTGAACAGTCTGTTTGGCACTGCACCGCATCAGTCATCACGGTTTCACGTCGCGTCAATGCATCGACCTTTGCAGGCCTGTTTTCTTTGCTCTTAATCCGCCTGTGCGGTGGGAACTCTTGAGCATGATTGATATCTCACGTAGGTTTTGATACCCAGCCACTTGTGCAAGGGCTAACACGGGTGAGTGAAAAGGCTTAAAGGGGGTACCAGCGGTACCAGCAGGAGCCGGGCCCATTTTGGGGGTCCAAACCCAACCCATGGCAGTTTCCTGCCACTTAGCTCGGCACACTGCCGGCCAGGCCGCAGAAGCGAGCGGCCACCATCCTCGGTGTGGGGGGCCCTGGTCGCTTCGGCTGAAGTTCGCATGAGGACCCAAGGCACGGTTCCCAGGCTAGGGTTTTGACCATAGCATTTGTGTCGTGTGTGGCTTTAGTGTGGTTGACATACTGGTTTCAGTTTGGTCCTGATCATTTGCCAGTGCCATCCATTTGTCGTCAATACTGCACTTGCAGCTCATGGAATATGAACAAACTGCAGGCATCGCCCCTTTTTTCTTTGCCCTGACTTTTTGGGTAGGCTCCTTTGTCACTATATTTCCCTTCTGGGCTGGCATTTACACATGTTTTTAAGGATCATCCAAAAGAGGACACTCAACGGGGATGGATAATTTCTGATGTTTATCCAGACCCCTATTAAACACCCAAGTTTGGATTTACAAGCCATGGGCTTGCCCGTCCCCCATTTCGCAAAAAAATCAACAACCACATCAACATGCAACATCCTGCCTCCCTTCCAGTTGTCAAGGGCCCACCAATAGGGGCCCCCAATCCCAACAGGGGGCGAATAGCGACCAAAAGAAAGGGCACCAGGCGCTTTTTTGGGTTCCTTGTCTCCGTGCGCCAACAAACCTCCATGGGTAGCCCCCCGGTGTTTCGAGCCCATCTCCCCGACTCGGCATCGTCTGAAAGGTGGAGCCCGGCTGCGGCGAGGCGGTGGCGCACGCCCAGGTGGAGACACGGTACCGGGCCGGAGGACCCAGGGGGAAACCCCGCTATTCTCGTGCGAATTCCACCCCCCCATTTTTGTTTGTTGGTGAAGTTGCCACATATTTGTTGGGGGGAATTGCGCTCCCCCCATTTGGATTTTGGATGGGTTTCTTGGCAATTTGATAGTTTCTTTTGATGTGACGCTTGTTGTTTGTGCCTGTTTTCAAGGGTGGCAAAGGGACACTGGCGCTTCCCGGATGTGCCTCATCCCATTTTTTTTCTCATCCGACCACAATACCCTGTTTGGTGACCCCATTTTGGGGTTGTTTCCGGGGAGAGCAGCAGGAAACTGGCCTGTTTTCGATTCAAACCCAGTTTCCAAGAAGACTAGTTTTGTCTTTGAGCAAGAAGCGGGGAGTTTGCTCAACCCCCTGAGTATCTGGGCTAACTTCCTGTTTCTATGACGACCAGTTTCCAACCTTTGCCGTTTTTCCAGCCATTTTCGGACGTTGCCAACAAACGCATGAACACAGACAGGACGACCAAGAGGAAGCCAACAAAAAGAGCAGGTCAACCCCACCCCGCCCCCCAGCAAAAGTCACCACCACCCCCCTCCCCCCACCCCCCAACCCCACCCCCGCCACCGCGCCAGCGTTTTAGGCAGTGCTCAGCAACCTGGCGGGGGCCTCTCCGGAGGGCGCTGATCGGGCCTGGGGCATCATGGGGGAGGCAGGGCTCCCGGTGTGTTGGGTCGGGTTCCTGGGATGGTTCGTTTCAGTTGTTTCTTGTTGGGTTGGGTGTCCGGTTGGGTTCCTGGGATTTTTCTTGGGGGGTTCTCTCTCCAACTGCTTCCTGCTTGGGGTGAAGCCATCAGTAAACTTCTGACCTTCCGTCAGTATTCGTTCTCTGTTTCGTGGAGAAGGGAGCGGGGAGCGGTGAGGATTGTCATGCCTTCTTTTGTTTTGCCCGCCCGCTTTGCTGCCTCAAACCGGAGTTTGGGGATTCGCATCGTTTGAGGAGCCGTTGAAGGGTTCTTGATTGCACCCAGGGTTTTTGATCATCCTTCGCCAGAAGCCTCACAATGGGTGAACCAGCCTGGCGGCTTCTCACACTTGGCCCTGCACTGGATGATGAATGCAACCTAAGAGTCATGAATCGCAACCAGATTCAATGGGCTTCCGATTGTTGAGTAGTTTTTGCCCCCGCTTTCCGGTCAGCCTCCATGAGTGTCGCAGAGAGGGCAAGCCGCGCACGACCAGGTGGTGGACTCCGCTGCCCGGCCGGTGGCGCAGCAGGGAGCCCAGCAATGAGTCGGTTGCGCGCGCTGCGGTCTTGTTGCGGCTTTTCACAGCAGCTTCGGGCTTCACAAAAATGATTAGAAACCGTTGTAAACTCAAGTATCGATCAACATGCAAGGCGGTATGCACCATCAAATGGGGCTGGCTTTGCACGGGCGATGGCAAATCTGTTGGCATTAGGATGGCATTAGGCAGCTGGCTGGAGCTGGTGCTCTTTGCTTTCTTGGGGTTGGTGACCCTCGAGCAACTTTGTGCTTTTGCTTTCATCTGGGATTTGCTTGCAGCAAGTCCACTTATCCTATAATCCGAATTAATCCAGGTGGCAGAAGCACCGAAGTTGGACCGAGGGCTAAATGACACGATTCTCAGTTTCCCAACGAAAGCCGCAAGTGGATGGAAAAGGTGTCAATCGATTTTCAAGACTACATAGATTGAAGAGATATGGGCGTTTCTCAAATGAATGCCCTGGTAAATGGAACCAAAGACTAGAACCCGCGCAACCCCAGCTCTTTAATTTTGAGCCACACCCATATGGGAGTGTCCCCTCTTGAGTCCGACAGGACGCCTCTTGTCCTCTTGGGGTTAGTCGGTGATTTCCCGTCCCTGGCTTCGCTGCTTGCAAAAAAACCGAGGCTCTGGGCGCCGGCGCCGGAGAACCGGGGCGTGTCCGCGGTTCTCGCCTCGGATCAGCACAGGGGGAGATGGGCGGTGGGGGGATGGGAGATGGGAGCTCCAAGAAGGCAAGCCTTGGTTGGTTTGGATTGGTGGGAACTGGGGATGTGACCCTCAGATTCTTTGTGGGTAAATGGGAAGCCACCCTCGAAACGCGGTTAGTTCACAGAATGTGGAATTTCCCGCAATTGGGGACCCCAATGATGGCAAGTTTCTATTGGTTTGCCTTTGAGCAATCAAGCAGGGTGCCTCACTTTGCGGACGCACTCATCCAGAATCTTAGATGCCATCTTTGTGCGTAAGCTAAGGTGCTAAGGTGGGGACGGGCTAGGAAAAGGGGGAAGAGCCTGAAATTGGTGAAGCTGGACACCCTGACAGAAACCCTGGCATAGAACCCATCACAACGTTCTTTTGGAGGGCAAAAGTCTTCCAAGTTGTTCCATAGTGGGCGAGAGGGTTGGAGCGATCCGAGTGAAAGGCGCGCGCCATGGGCCTGCGAGATCTCAAGAGGACGGGTTGGGGAGGGGCATGGCGGCTTGGAAGATGCTGTCTTTGTGGCGTTGACTCAATTGAGCACCCGTCTGAGGTGTCCAGGCTGCTTTGCAAACTAAGATGTTTTTGGGTGCCGTTTCGGAGATTGACTGAAAGGGACATCGACAGGCAATACTGCCCTGTTGGGGTTTTTATATCCAACTTGGAGACACGCCCAATGAGATGAGCAGTATCCAAAACCCTTCTAGCTGGAGAGGGGGGGGGGCAATTGCCTATTTTCAATTGGACATATAGAAATGCCAACATAACCTGAACCTGGGAAACAAACACATACCTTCGTAGAACCAACAGTCATTGAGTCTGCATCCCCGCAGCTCAGACGGAAGCAAGACCACCACAGGAGGTTGGATCTCTCGATCGCCAGGCCGCGGAAGCTGATTGGGCTCGAGGTGGTCAGTGAGGCCTTGTGGGCATTGGCGAGAGCAAGGGTCTTGGCTTCCCCGCTGAGACGTTTGAGGGCAAGGTACTGCACCACTTTGAAACCACGGGAAACCACTGTTTGCTGGTATTTGCGGGGGAATCGTCATTCCAGGGAGCATTTCGTCCATCCACGCTATGTCAAGGGAGTTGGATGTAGCGTGCTGTAGACCCATGATTAGTCACCCCCCCAGCTGTTAAATCAGGGGGTCCCGCCTGGAAAGGAATCGGGCTGTTCACGGTGATCAGGGGCCAGAAGCCAGAATCCTGAAGTGTGCTTTTGCACATTTCGCATAGCCAGAATCCTGGTTCTACTTAGTAAGTTGCCAGGTGCAAGAGCTCTCCGAGTCCCGTAATGAGACACTTTTAACTCAGTTGCTGGCATGGACGGTGACCACCGGCTTAGTATGGACATGTGCGGGCCTGCAGTCGTTTAAGCAGGGTCTGCGCTCTTCTGCGAAAAGTTCTGAGAGCCATGGATGAGGTTTATGCTGTCGGTTAAGGGACCATCATCCATCCTCAGCTCGGATGTTGAATTGCTATTCCTGTCATGCAACGCAAGTAGACCCGCAACCAAGTTGTCGCGGTGGCCCCTCAAGGAACTGTTGCTCAATTGAGGGAAGGATCATCCAGGATCATCCACATTAGTTTTCATTCACTCGCCAGTAGCTTTAGTCGATACGACCGCGAGGTGGATATCCCTTCCATCCCGCCAGATGCTTTGGATGGTGATAGGTCCTTGTTGCCGGGAGGTCATCCACGTGGAGGACAATAGCACGGTTTGCCTCATGCTCCTCACAGAGGGCATGCCTGGATCTCTGTCAGGGTTTTAGTGCACTTTCTCGATTGGTTTGGTTGGTTCCGCGCATTCCAAATTCGGGGGGCCAGAGACTTGGAATATCGAGGTCAAACAATTCAGAACTTCTTTTCTGTAAAGCAGATTTGTTTTTCTGAGTGCGGGAATGGACTTGCCCTTCAACCTGTCATCCTTTCAACCTTTCGATCGTGGGCTTATCCCACGAGAGGCCTATTCCCGAGGTGCCGGCGAAGAGGTTCGAGGGGCCAACTCGCAAGGTCATTCATGTTGGTTTTTGACGAAGAACCCATTCAGACTAGTCTAGTTTACGTGCCTATCTGATTGCCTGGGTTTTGGAGGAGAGCAGATTAGCAACTTCTGCTGCCAGTTTTGCATTTGCCTTGCAGAAGGTGCAAAAGGGGATGTCATCGGAAATAGCCAAGTTTCTTCATCAGGGCAACCCCCTCCTGAAACACAGTGACCACGTCATGTATGTATCCTAGTGAGGCTCGCTGGCTCAAAGCGAATCGACCCAGCCCTTTAACCTTTTGGTCTCCCTGACTTGGTCAACGTTTAGTCAAGGTTAAAGGCGATCACCGATTATTTTTGGACCTTTGGACCTTTAGGTAAGTGAGCCATCAAGGCAACCCACAAACAAAGTGACGACGTCATAGGAATTTTCGGATTCATCAAGTTCGGCCATTTTTAGCGATGTTTGGAATTTACCACAGAAAGGCATTCATCCATTTGTGTGCATTTGCGGCGCTGGGTGTCCGGTCTGTCGCAGCTGTTGGACCAAGCGGCAAAAAGAAGCCGCCGGCAAGCATCTCTTTTGCCAGGATCTCAGATTGCCGGGGGTCCGGCGAGGGGTCCTCTTCCTTCTCCCAGGATCACTTTTGGACCTATTTTGGAGGAGCCTCCTTTTGGTGGTTCTGATACTACATTTGTACCAAGTTTGAACTTGGATCTGTTTGGACCAACTTTGGGTGAGCTCCCTGGGGTGATGTTCAGGTAACACAGGGAACCCTGGCGCTTGCCCTGATCTGACAGTGTTTGTTTTGAACTGTCTCACCGCCACATCTACGAATCTACTCCAAGCCACTTTCCGTTGCTTCAACCAAACATGGGGGATCCAGTAAAATTGTACCAAACAGCTTCTTGGCGGTCAATGGCCCCATGGCCACTGCTGTGATTCTTGAACCAAGGGAGGCCAGGGAGCAGGTGAGTGAGGCAAAATATCCGCTTGCGAGATATGAATTTTGGACCCTCCTTCCAAACCAATCTGTCCATGTCCATGCTCTTGCGGCCGAGATCTCAGCTCGAGCTGAGGCTCGAGCATGGATCCCAGCCACTTGAGGCCGGAGCCAAGTTTCTCTGTCGCCGGCCTGAAGCGGGGCTTTTGGTTGCGTTGGCACATTGCAGGTCCTTCTCAGAACCGCGCTGGAAGAATCGGACAATTCTGCAAAAATATCAAAGCCCTCCCCAAAGAAAAAGAGAGGCAACAGCACCCTGGCACCTTTCCTGATTCGCTGTTTGGACGATCAAAGATACGCGCGGTAGTGCATAACATGAGCTATTGTCAAGGTAGTCAACAGCTACGCGCAAACAGGATTATCAGACTGGTATCGGGTTGATAGTTTTGTTGATTCATGCAAACCTATACTGAGTTAGAGCATGTTAGAGCCATAGCCAGGGAAACCATTGCAACCGCTGGTGGCTGTTAGGGGCTCTTAAGGACCCTTAAGGGTCATCTCCCCTTGCTGCGGCGGTGAGTCATTGGATACTGATACAGGGCTGATGGTCGTCCCAGAATCACTCATTTGACTGGGCCGTGGGGCAGGCTTTGGGCAAGCTGCCGGAGAATCCACCCACAGAAACAATACCAGCCCTGCGAAACGCTTTCGCATTTGGCATTGGCAGGGCATGCTGACCAACTCATTTGATTGTGTCAGATTGAGAGGAAACAACGGCTTGGAATTTAGAGAGATGATCCAGCATCACCACTCGGTCACATTCAGGAAATGGAACCAAAGTCCAAAGTGTAGATTCCTCTGTCCAAAGTGAATCGCTTTTGCTACTCAAAGGAAGTTTAGAAAGAACTTCCGTATTGCGGCAAGTAATTGAAAGCTAGCAAATTCAGACGAGGGAAAACGCGCGAGAGAAGAAGGGCGCGCGTGTGATGGAGGAATAAAAATGTGAAAAAGCGCAACTCTCTCAGGGCTTCGGTGCTTTGGGGTGCTCGAAAGTGAGCCCGATCGCGAAGCCGGGTCGGAGCGAGCATCCTCGCGCCCGCGTTCCGAGCGCGTTCGGCACCGGGCCCATTGGCACAGACGCGCGTGCTGTTTGCACCATGGCGTAGCGCTTTTACAAGGTCAGGTGCAGATTTCGTGGCAGGCGCAGCACTTTCGCAAGGTCAGGTACAGACTTCGTGTGAAAGTCGCAGCGCTTTCGCGAAGTGGATAGGTAAACAGACAGATAGATAAATAGAGACGGGTAAGGTAGATAGATAGGTTGCTAGATAGGTAAATCGATAGATAGATAGGTAGATAGATAGATAGATAGACAGGTGGATAGATATAGATAGAACGGAGAGAGAGAGAGACAAAAAGAAAGAGAGAGAGAGAGAGAGAGAGACAGAAAGAAGGAAAGGAAGAGATAGAGGAGGAGATAGGTTTGCTGGAGAGATTGTTAGACAGACACATAAGTAGATAGATCGAGTGCAGAAAATAGATCGGTAGAGAGAGAAACAGATAGATGGATAGATGGATGAGTAGATCAGACATATATATATATATATAGATACATAGATTGCCAGATACACAGATAACAGATAGGTAGATAGAATAAACAGAACGCAGAGAGACAGAGGGATAGATAGATAGGTGTCGCCAGCCAGATAGATAGATAGATAGACAGATATATACAAAGGCAGGTAGATAGATCGATATATCTCTCTCTCTCTCTCTCTGTCTCTTCAAAGGTAGGTAGAGATATACACAGACAGGTAGAGAGAGAGAGAGAGACAGACATATAGACAAAGAGAGAGAGAGAGAGATCAATATGTAGATAGAAAGAAAGAGCGAGAGAGAAAGAAAGAACAGTTCTGCAAGAAAGAAAGAAATAATGAAAGGCAGGGAGAGAGAGAGAGAGAGAGAAAAAAAAACAAAACAGTTTACAAAGAAAAGCGAGAGGGAGAGAGAGAAAGCAAGAGGAGAAAAAACAAAGAGAAGAAGAAAGCAGGAACTGCAAGAAACAATGAAAGACTGGAGGGAAGAAAGAAGAGGAGAAAACGAAAAAAGAACAGCAAGAACAAAATAACTACAGTTTGTATTTGGTTGGCACTTCCACCCACGGCTTCGCCGGCTCTACTAGCACCAGCCAGGATGACTTGTGAGACTGAGCCAGCGGGATAAACTGAAGCCATCCGTACTCCACAGAAGAGCTCATTATCTGCTAGTTAGAGGAAATGGAGTCTATGCCGCCAATGTTCATACCCCAACACTCCGTTGCCAGGGGCGGGCCTTGCAAGCCGGTGACGCACCCGGAGCTGACGCTTGGGCTTGAAAGAGTGCCTGAAAAGGAAACTGGAGCGCATGTGGTTCCTTTGAAGATTAGGGAAAAAGCCAAGGGAAAAAACTCATTTTGGTCACCCCTCTAGAGGAGAATCTGGTAGGCACTAACCTCAGCTTGGTTGCGGGTTGGCTCAGGTCACAAGTGTCTTAAATGCAACGCTTAAGGGTTCCTTTCTCCTGCAGCACCAAAGATGGTCATCAACCTTCTCGTGTGTTTCCTGGCAACACGTTTTGACCAGCGCGCTGCAACTACCTGCCCTGGAAACCACGCTGGCCCGCTGGGCATCAACTGAAGCCGCACCCAGGAGCTATGGGCCGGGCCACAGACTCGGCGAGCAGGCGAATTTGATACAAATTGTCCTGTTGTTGTGTGGCGGGTTGGCTTTTGCAGACGAGCAAATCAGGAATGGGCTTTATTGCCAGACATCAACGAGCAAACATGGCACCTTCTGAGGTTTCGAAGCCGGTTGGCGGGTTGCTGGAAACAACTCACTGAGGTATCTCCGGCAGCACGCCGTACAGCTTGACAGGCCGGCACAGCGATGGGCGAGTTGGCGTGGCGACAGACGGATAAGCCAAGAACAAGCGACCGTTCAGTGCGCATGTTTCCCCGCGCATTCATCAGAGTGAGTCATTCCCATTGATTCACCGCTCTTCCCTCCCTCTAGGATCCCCGAACGCCGTGGATTTGTTGGAATCCGAAAACTACCGGATTTCACACTGCAAGGCGCTTGACATTTGCTGAATCCCTTCCCCTATTCATTATCGCGGACCCCCCTAATAAAAAAAGTACTCTCTGGGAGACAAAACATAGGGTCCTGTAGGGTGGACCGGATTTCCTCTTCGGTCCTCGTCCAAATGGGCTCCCCCTTCCCGGACACGAAAGACCTCAAAACCGCAATTTTCCGGGCAACGAATTAAACGAAAAAAGCAAAGTAGTAATGGGGACCTGGCTGTTTTAGCCAGTCTGGAAAGAATAGTCGCGCCTATTCACAAGAAAGGGGCAGGGATTACCATTTTTCCCCAAACAGCGAAGCATTGGGGTTCTAACTTGAGGTATAGAGAATGGGAAAGTGTGCCAGTTGCTGTAGCGCTGACTCCAGGGTCGTGTCTCCCGCTTGTCTGCCAGATGCTGTGACGCTGGCCCCGAATTCGTCTCCCGCTTGTCTCCCTGCGCTCCCAGTTGCCAGATGTGTGACGCCGGCTCTGGGGTTGTCTCCCAGTGTCTCCCAGTCTCGTCTCCCTGTGTCTCCCAGTCTCTGCGGTCGAATGGGCTCTGAGCTTGTGTCTCCCGCTTGTCTCCCTGTGTCTGGATGCTAAATGCTGTGACGCTCCCGCTTGTCTCCCTGTGTCTGGAGGCCAGACGCTGTGACGTCTCCCTGTGTCTCGCAATTTCTGCGATGCTGTCTCTGGGGTCGTGTCTCCCACTTGTCTCCCTCA